CGTCCTGCTGGTACCAATTGAAATGTAGGAGGCAGTTAGTGTCTCTCAATTGTAAGTGCCATTTGATCCCCAGGGAGGCATTTAATGGATGATATTTCCCTACTGAGAGTCCTGTCTTTTCTTTCTGTACTTCATTAGTAGTACTTGAGGGTCCTCCTGGTCGTAAAAAATGCATGCACTGCTTGCCTGATTTTTCATACACTCTACTAGGAAAAAGGATGTAATTCCTTTGGAATAGAATCCTTTGGCTTTAATTATAGGGTGTCTTCCTGGATGCAAGTGGGTTTTCCCTATGCCTTGTTGCTAAGCTAAAGGAAAGGAACGAACGAAACAGAGAAAAGGGAATAAAAGCATAATAAATTGATAACTATTTGCAAATTCACTTGCCTCTGAAAATGTCTTCCTCCTTGTTTTTCTTAGGCTATGTGGCTTGGATGAGTCTTAAGGAGACTTAGGAATGCAACTCTTGTAGATATGGAAAGGGAATGGATGCCAAGGTGCGAGGTGGAGGACCTGTGATGTTGCATTCACGGTACTGAGCATGAATAATGTACCTATAAGTGAAATCCTGCAGTTTGACAGGGTGCAGCAATACTATCCTACAGCTCTTGGAGGAAAATCAAGGGTAAGAACTCAAAATATGACAAGCAGAGTTACCGGCAATCATTTCATAGTCAAAACTAAGATGTAGCAAAAATCCAAGTGTCCCCTTTGCTGCTCAGCAGAGATGGTGCCAACGTGGAGCTCACCCTGGGGTCGAACACTGGCTGGACTGACAGCTCTCCTGTTCTCACTCCATCTCACTTATAACCTTGATCAACTCTGCAAACATATTAACTACCTAGTAATAGAAATACTTTATTTTTACTAGTCTAATTAAATGCTGTAAAATAACGTAACCTGCAAATACAGAGCCTCTGTGGGGTCACTGTTGGTGTTGCAGGGGTCTGTTTAGAAAGGTGGGAGTGACTTGGGGCCTGTGTTGCTCCTGCCCCGGCGCTTGGTCCTCTGGCCGCACTGCCCATCTGAATCCAGCGTGCAGTTTGTCCCCAGGACACAGGAAGGGGCTCTGGATTCAGTGTGCCACGTGGCAGAAGCCTGATGTTGGGTCAAGAGCCAGTTACAGCGTCAGCGTTGGTTATCTAGACCTAGGTGCTCCGCACAGACCCTCGCGCGTGCTCGTGAGCGCTGTGATCTCCCGCTGAAACGCGGCTCTTCCTGACGTCTGCCGGTCCCCGGCAGCTCCTCGGCAAGCGCCCGTGCGTCTCTGCAGGCGTTCGGGGCTTTGCAGTGCACAATTAGACTGTCCAGCTTGGACAGGGCCTCATTTTTGTTAAATTGAGCATAATCTGTTCCACTACGTAGTTAAGAGCAGTAGCAGTAATTTATCAAGGTTGCATGAATGAAAGTAAGGCGACTATTTAATTAGTTGACTTTTGTGGATGTTTTTATTTTATCTTCTTTTGTTTTGTTTTTCTCACTGGTTAAATTCCAAACTAGTAGCAGTAGCAGTAATTTGTCAAGGTTGCATGAATGAAAGTAAGGCAACTATTTAATTAGTTGACTTTTGTGGATGTTTTTATTTTATCTTCTTTTGTTTTGTTTTTCTCACTGGTTAAATTCCAAATAGTACAACAAGCACCTTATGGAAGTGGGATATTATGCTTCTTCATGTTGTATTTTAGCTGTCAGAAAAATACACTAGTGTTGACTGCAGTTTTACACAGCTTGCATAGAGAGCGCCATATGTAATTAAAAAATTGGTTATGGATAGGAAACTGCAGTGACATTAAGGACCAGTGGTGTATGCTCTGTTTTGCTGCTAGGTATGTGCTCTTGAGTTGATGGAGATTGTGCTGCTGTCAGCTGCTCTCATTGCAGATCTAAGTCATAGCTGAAAAGATGACAGAAAGCTCCCCAGACTCCCCACGTGCCCTGGGAGCAGTCGGTGTTTTCTGTCGATGCTGCTTGTGCAAGAAACTCGCGTGTCCCAGCGATGAGCGCGTGTGAATGGCCACCCAAAGTGCCAGCAGCGCCGCGACGGGCAAATCTTGTCGTCCTTGGGAGACACCTGCTGCGCAGCTCGCTAACTGCCACCCGCCGCGCTGCCCGCTGCCCCAAAGGCCAGGTTAGGCAGGTGCCTGGCCTGTTCCCTTGTCTTTCTAATGCTGGATCTTATGCAGGCACCTACATCTGCCTTACTTGCCACTTCAAATCATGCTCGGTACCTTCCTATGCCTCCGTTTTGCCTCCCACAGGCAGCGATATTGTTACTCCCTTGGCTCCCAGGACTGCTGCAAGTAAATGTGTGAGATGCTGTCTCGGTCAGGCCAGAGGGGTCCTTCCCCTGGTGCGCCAGTGTGGTTTGCTCTTAGCTGCTGTGCAACAGTTTGCACCAAGAGCATGACATATTTGCACTCACTCTGCTTTATTTTTGCTGCAGGAATTACATGTGCTGATGACAAGCAGTCTCACGTCTGAAAGATGAGGCCCAAGAAGCTTCTCGAACTTGTGTGTCCCCCATTGAAAACTGCAAGTCTGGAGCACTCAGCGAGCTGTCAGAGCCGAGACGGGCAGAACTGCCAAACGGTTCAGTGACAGCTCAGGGTATCGCTTTCGTTTCCAGGGAGACTGGCACTGGCTCTCACAAATCAAGGTAAAGTGTTTGCTGATTATCCAATAATAATGCTGAGCATTTAGGTGTGAAGTTCTTCACCTTCCTTCAGCTGAGACAGTTTCCATTCCTATGGCAGCCAGAAAATGCTACGGAGGCCCCGTGAACTCCATCTGGCCTGCGCTGTGCAACCCACTTGCCTGGGAGGACAGACAGATCTCAGCCCTGGCCCTTATGCTGGGCTGTTAGGTAAAGGGCTAATGTGTCCCCACATCTTCTGCCAGTACGACTTTTTATATGACAAATTAGAAAATAACAGCAGGGTTTTTTTTTCTTTACCGTGTCCTTGCAGGACATTTTTGTCCTAGACTTGTTTTCTTGAAGTAACTCTAAGTTGCATAAACTTCTTATCTGCTTC